AAAGATAATAACTACACGATTATTTAATATTTTGAGGAAATTTAGCTTACTCTCTTATTAAAATTTCATTTGTGCCACACCACATCTGGCTCCCTGCTGCTTGCAGATGTGAATTTGTATGACTTATTAATTTGACAAGACTGGTCCAAGACTGGTCATGGGCAGAAGATACAAAAAATTGTTTGATTGTTTAATTAAAATGTTCGTTGTGAGTTTGTAAAAATTTCAAAAATAATGGAAACACATCTGAAGATGTTAACATGTGGCCTTATCTGCTTCAGATGCCTCCTTTTAAACAAACAGACCCGTACAATGGCAGCCAACACTGTCCGGCAGGCAGGCCGCTGCCCCTCTTCGCCGCCGCCGGCCACGCCTGCAGGTGCTGATGCCCCAGGCGTCTCTGCACGTGGACTCCACACGCTTGTGTTCGGCTCTGCTCCTTTCCTCGAAAAGGTCTCTGTCATTGGTACAGCTTTGCGCCTGACCTGTTGGACGCAGTTACGTGTCTGAGACGGCGCCACTGTGTTGCTGACGCACGGAGCCCTAGCCGGCTCCTCGGGCCCCGGGACGACACCCCTCCGGCGAGGACACCCGTCACTGATTTGCTCCTGAGACAGGTGCTCCGCGCACTTGCGCTTTGACGGCGAGCATCGTTTCCCGCACCTGCGCTTGTGCTGCTCTCCGCTGCGTGTGGCGCAGGGTGTTGAAACGTTAGATGCCGGGTGGGCTTTGTGGGAGGGAGGTGGGACACTACAGCGGAGCAAGCACTGCTGAGGCAGTTACATTCCAAGTGGCCCTGAGCTGAAGAGATGAGGAAAGAACATAAAAATATACTAGTGACATGCCGTATGTTATTTTAAATATTATATAGTGGTGAAGTGGCAGAGTCTCAAAATATATTTATCTTCATATGTAAGTGGAGTAAGGGCTGACTTTTTATTAAGTTACTAGTGGAATGAATAATACAATTCCTAGAATTTTTAAATGTTGAACTAATGTTCTAAAGTATAATTTGAGAAGATAAGCGTAGATCTCCTCCTGGGACGCTTCACTTCTGTAGTGATGTGGAAAGACAAAGTTAGGGGTGCAGCTCAAAACACACGTTCTGTGTTCTGACACAGCTTGTCTGCCGGGAGGCAGTTGAGACCGGGCAACCGTCCCCGCAGAGTCCCCGTCCAGCGCGGGCACCTGCCAGGGCGGGGCGCGGCGGCAAGGCCACCCCCCTGCCGCCACCCCGCCCTGCCAGCCCTCAGCTCGCTCTGTGCACGGGGCCTGTGGACACGCCCGTGGGGGTTTCTAGTTCTCCTGTCTCTAGCAAAAAGCAGATTTAGCGTCCCCGCTCCAAAATTGGAGGCCTAGAGATGTGGACACAATCCACCTCGACTCTGGGAGTGCAAATCACATCCTGAGCGGGTCCCCTGGGCCCTTCCAGGTGGGGTGCTGATGGCCGAACGGCACATGTTGCAGTCAATAGAGACACCGCCTGGACAGCCAGAGCACTAGAAACGCTCAAGGTTTAATGTAGGGCGCTTTACACATTCACCCAGGCCGAGGTAGGTAGGCGCCATGCACAGAGCTGTAAACGGAGACGTGAGTCTGCGTGAGCCAAGTGGGCTGTGGGGGCAGAACTCGGGGCGCCTCCTTCCTAAGGTCGCCGGGCATCACAGCAGCCTCCACAGCACGTGAGGTTACGCTTTCAGGGGACCTCCTACCGGCCTGGATGGCACGGTTGGCTGCCTTAGCAGGGGCTTGTTCTAAAGAGTCTTAGCCTCATCAGCCCCTCAGTCCCTGGACACGGGGGCCTCGGCGGGGCCGCCCCACTCGGCGGCAGCTGCTGATAGCGCGACGGGCAACCTTGTACACATAACACCGTTTACTCCGGATGCCCAAGTCCCGGCTCCGCTGGGTCTCCCACACACTGCTGCTGAGAAGCCTGGTGCCATTCTGGTTTCTTTGGCTTGTGATTGTTTTCCTTCTGAAACCTTGAAAGATCACCTTGTGTCCAGCAGAGACGTCTCGTGAAGCCAGAGGAGAGGGAAGGTGACAAACTGCCCTTTCTGTTACCTGTTAGAGCCCTGGATGGGGTTTCGAACTTCCCACTGAACGCTGTGCACTCGTTAGACGGGGATGAGCGAGCGGGGCGTGGCCTGGGCCCAGCTCCGCTGGCAGAGACCCGTTTCCTCAGCGCGTGGGTCATGCCTGCGCTGCAGCCTGTCACGTATTTTTTCTTTTTAGTTTAAATTATAAATGTTTGAACATTTAAAAATTAATTTATTCAGTAAAATGTTTAGAATACCAAAGAAAGGAGCTGAACCGAATGTGGAGGCCACGGTTATTGTCGTCTGGGACCATAGCTCTTGCCGGAAGGAGGCAGCTCGGTCATTTCCCCTGTGGCCACAGGAAGCAGTCCCAGCTCGTGAAATAAGCCCAGAGGAGGGGGGCGGGGTGGAGGCCGGGGGGATGGGGAAGGGGAGCCCCGGGCAGCGGTGGGGCCCCAGCGCCGTCAGAGTCCGCCATGCGCCAGGGCGCCCCCCTGCTCCCCGTGTGGCCCCCGGGGTGCCCCGAGTGTGTGGACAGTGGCGCTGTGGCCAGGCACCTGCACGGCCGGACACAGGGGGCCCGGCCCCACTTTCCAGCTCCGCGGCTCTGCGGACACGGCTCGGCCCAGCCTCCCTCCTGGGGCCTGGAAACTGCGCGGCCTCTGGGAACCCTTCCTTCACCTGCCCTGGCCGTTAACCCCTGCTGCTCCTTTTAAACCTGTGATGGCATTGTACCCCTCCCCTCCCCCACCTCTCCCGCGGGGGCCCCCCCCCCCCGGACCCCCGGCCCCACGCCCTGGCGCCGCTTCCCTGCGGAGGCCTCCCCGGAGGCCCGTGGGCCGCAGCTCCTCAGGGATGGGTCCTCCCAACCTGCCGCTGCGCGGGCGAGGCCCCTTCTGTGCGGCGTCTGAGACCCGCTGTGGGTGGCGCCCCGAGATCACACCCAGATGACAGATGTCACCTCCATAGGGCCTCTTGATGTTGGTCACCAGCCCACGAGCCGATTTTCCTAAAGCAACTGGGAAACACGCGAGGTTTTCTGAAAGTCAGGCGGTGGCCTCAGTCCTTTGTTATCTGGCTTTTGTCATTTCGTGACAGGCGCTGAGCTCCGGTTTAACATTTTTATTACATGTGAATAATAGAGTACATATATTGAGGTTTCATAGATGTAATTTTGTTAAATGTACATCATGGTAGATTTAAAAATGAGGGATTTATTTTGTCATTCATAAAGTTGTAATACAGTCTGGAGAAACTATTTGTTAAAAGATAGCATCTACTTAACCTCCTTATTTATTTCTTGTAGGAGAAGGTTAGATCCACAATAAATACACGAAGAAATAAGTAGATAGGGGAATTTATCTTGGAAATAAGATCCCTGTCATGGTTTTGAAATGTTAAATGCATGAAGACCCGTCAAAGAGATATACGGACATGATATTTTTTTACAGTGCATTTCAAAGTATTTAGTTACATTTGTCATTCTGTAGTACCAGTAAGCAATGATCACAAGATACAGTAATTTCAAAATCAGTCTGAGTTAATGGGTGTAAATACAGTGTCTCACATTTTATAGATATATTAATTGACAATTTTAATATTAATGAAGCACTTTAGATATTTTATATGACAGTCCTGAAATATTTAGCAATTTTTACTTCTGTTGCATTTAAGACCTAATGTTATAAAAATACAAATATATATAGCAGATAGCCTGGCTTTTATAAAAGGTAATTTCATAATTTGATTAAAACAAATTTTTGAAACTCTGAATGATTAATCTGTTAAAGTAATCTACATTTTCCCAAAAATGAGAAAGTGAATTGTTTGGAGCTTAGGATTCTTTTTCTACCCTTATGAGGTGAAGGAAATTTTTAAAAACGTAGTTAAGGCCTTTATGCAAAGAATACATTCTTCTTACACCTCCATATTTATATCATAACTTAAACACAGGTATTGTAATCCTCTTTTTAATTGCATTAACTTGCTAAACATCCAGACCAGCTTATGACAGTCAAATCAAGCTGCTGTAGTTTTCCTCTTTTGTATCATAGTGCTTATCCACTTACTAAAATATTTTGATTTTAAATATTGGGTTTTAATTTGCTTTTATTTGACTGTTCATTATCCCAAATTAATTAGCTGGACACCGCTTTATTAGGCATAGGGATGGCTTTAACCTACATTGCATCGGAAATAAAATGCAGATTTTAGCCATGACTCCATGAAGACAAGTGGAAAGGGACAGACGATTAACCAGAGGGAATATTAGGGCTCCTGTTAATGGTTCATGTTGCCTTGATTATTGACGGCACCTTTACCTGTGAGCTGAGGGCTGAGATGCTGTCTAGTGTGAGTGCTGTTTTGTTATTTTCAGGCTTTTTTCATGTAGGAAATAATTGAGGCTTATTTTTCGCCAAAGCTTATTTGACTGAGGTATAACTTTATGCTTATTCTTGTCAAGGTCAGCGCTTGTCGCCGCTGAGGGGTGGCTCCAAGAGACCCCTGTGCAGGGGCGCCCTCGGGACCCCTCCCCGGGGGCTCGGCACGGGGCGGCCGCCCTCTGTCCCGGAGCTGGGCTGCCGCCGGCCGGCGGCGGCGGGGCGGCGCGGAGCAGGCTGTCGGCGCAGTTTAGTGTGGATGGCTTTTCATTTAGCCTTTGCTCTGACAGCCCATGCCCTGGATAAGTGGCGTCGGCCCGGGCAGGTGAAATCTATTCTCACATTTGCCTCAGGGGTGACTGGACTGTAACAGAATTTTTCAAACCCGTGGGGCCCAACCGCAAAGCAGAGAATAAATGGCTGAAGTGCCAGGCCTCGACAGCAAAATCAATGCCTGGTTATACAGACATGACAGGCCAGGTCGGCTGCGCTCCCTGCGCCCGCCGCACCCCGGGGCTTGGGCCCGCCGCCTCCGGGCCCGAGGGCGCCGCTCTGACCCCTCTGCCCTCTCTCCCTGCAGGAAGTTCACGTGCCACCTGTGTGACAGGAGCTTCACCGAGAAGTGGGCCCTGAACAACCACATGAAGCTGCACACGGGGGAGAAGCCCTTCAAGTGCACCTGGCCCACGTGCCACTACTCCTTCCTCACTGCCTCGGCCATGAAGGACCACTACCGGACCCACACAGGTGCCCCGGGGGCCGCCGTGGGGCGCTTGGGGGCTGTGGGTGGGGGCACTTGGGGCTGGGGGGCGGGGTCACACCAAGTGACCTTGGAACGCGTCTCCGTGGAGCTGTGCATGCTGCACGCGTGGGGGCTTCTGCAGAGCGAGTCTCCCCTGCAGGAGCTTATTGCTGTCTGCGCGTGCGCACACAGCGTCGCAGGCACCGTCTCCGTGCAGGCCTCCGGGGCAGAGCTCACCGCCTCTCCTCCGTTACCCGGGCAGGCATGGCGCCTTCGCGTGTGCATTAAATCTTGGCTTATGTGCCATTTAAAACTTTTTCACCCAGTTAACACTTCTTTTAGGAGAATGTTCTCAGATCTAAGAGTTTGTGATGACATACACAGAGACTTATCTGAATTGAGCCACTGTGAATTTTTAGATAACATATTTAAAAGGTGCAAATTCATATACACCTAATAGCAAAACATTTAAAGAGTATATGGAATTTAAACCCTCTGATGGAGAGCAGCACCCAGTCTGTACCTGCGTGAGGCATGGCTTCCCGCCTGTTCAGTGTTGATGGCATGTTTTTGATCTCTGAGGACAGGGGCGCTCAAGTCCCTGCAGGCGCCCCTCCCTCCCCAGAGCTGTGGTACTGGGAGCCACCTGGTGTTTTGGGGTCCTCCTTCCTTTCACACCTCTCAGAGAGGATCATATTTCAAGGGAAAAAATAAATTTTAATCAGCATTCCCAAATGTTCCTCTGATTGCCAAGAACCCCCTATTATTGTTAGGAATTATAGGTTCCGAGTCCTCCTGGAGCCGAGGGCGGAAGCCCGGGCCGCCGCAGCCTCGCTGACAAGGGCGTTGACGATTTAAGGTCTCCAGCCTGCCCTGAGAGATCACTTGTATCGAACAGCAGATGAAAAGCCAGTGCAGATGTAATTTATCGTCGGCGTTTCCTTCTAAAGAATAATTGTGGAGACTTGGCTGGATCAATAATATGGATTTTTGTTGTTAGGTCTTGTAGTCTGCACCATAATGAGAGATAGGGGACAGTGGCTGTTTTCTAATAGAAAATAAAGGATTGGTTTCCATGTCTTTGTACATTTGAATGCAAAATGGCACACATGAAACTAATTCAAGTTGTTAAGAAAAGTCTCCTACTGTATCTCTGCTATCATGTAAATATGGCACGCTACATGAACCCGCTTCACACGGAGGGAAATATTACGTGTAGTTTGTGTCTTAAATTTTTTTTTTTTTTGAAAAATACTCTATTGCCCACTCTCCAATGCTACGCCCCTTGCCCCCTCAAAAAAACAAAAACAAAAAACGGTGAGTGAAAATTGAGTGTGGCATGACAAACGCGTCAAGCCACCGATGTAAATCTCACGTACAAGACATCGCAGACGAACACCGAGTGAAACCCCGCACACCAAAGTCAAGGTCACTAGCGCATCTAGCACCAAATCCCACGGAAAAGTCGTGTTGTCTTTGTGCCGATGCCCAGGTGGACCCAGGAGGGGAACAGCGTTGCGTGCGCACAGGCAGCGTGTGCACCTGTGAGGAACACACACCACAGGGGTTTCTGTGTTTGGGAGTGTTTGTGTTTTATAGGAAAAATGCGGGTCACAGAGTTTAGCAGGGAGAGAGGCGGATTGTTCCCTCCGGGATCTGCCGCAGGGGAGGGCGCTCCCTCTTCCTCGTCTTGGCTGCCACACACCGCCAGGGGCACACGTGTGCGTGCCTTCCCACACGCCCACGGGGTTCATGCCCACCAGACGGTGGCCGGGGGCACATTGTGGAGAACAGTTCTGCCTCAACTTAGACGAGTATGTTAATAATAACGAGCAAATTATCTTGGCGGATTTAAAAAAGTGTATGTTCAATGTTCTTTAATTGATAATACAGCTAGTTAGAAAGATTTATATTTCTAATTGATTAAGTGATTAAAGGAGTGATTATAATTAAACTTTATTCTTCACAACCCATCTATTCTATTATTTTTTTCTGTATTGAAATAGTGATGTCAAGGAATAAACTTAACCCTTAGACAGGAAAGTAAAGATAGGCAAAATGTTTAAATGCAGCTTTATTTTAGAAATGATGATAATGAATGTTTAAACATACACCTGTGAAGTAAGATTAAACGTAGATTGGTTAAAACTCTATTAATGATGCATGTTCACTTCAGCTAGAAAAGCTAGTCATGCTCCCACAGGGAACACCTTTCTGATGAACTGAGTTGTCCCGCCCTCTCCTAGTCCCTGTTGTTTCTAAGCCTCCAAAGGTGGCCCCTGCTTCCCAGCGCCCTGAGCCAGGCCTCTGCCTCGGCGCTCGACGTGCTGAGAGCAGAGCAAGCTGACTCGGACAAACCCTTGCAGGCTTGCTGCATTAAAACATCTAAATGAGCAAAGTAGATTAAGGGGCGGGGGGGTGATTCATTTTGTTTTTGGAAAACCATTGTGTAATTTCACTGAATCTCCCCAAGGTTAGCGTTTTTATTCTCGCCGGCCCTGCCTCGTGAGCCTTGTGGGACGCACTGCCCGGCTTGCCGGCACTTACTGTCTGAGTACGCGGCAGTGGAAAGATAGATTGCATTTATAACACGTAGGGCAAATGTTGGCTGGTGTGAAAATGCTTTAAAAATGAGCATTTACACACTTTTCACAAATCCTGAGGCTGCCAGATCTGCCTCTAATTGTTGCGGAGGTTTCCAGTCCTGAGTTCTCATTGCAGAGGAACAGTAGGAGCGTTCGTATCGTTTCTGTATCAGCCCTTGACTTCCGTTTCTGGGCCGTAGCGTCTGAGCCGCGTCCACGGCACTGAGCTGCTGCAGGTGCCTGGGGGGGGAGGGGCGCTTCATTGTTACCTGGGATGCTCTGTGTGTGCACGGAGACCATTTCATTCTCGTTATTAAGTAGGAAGTTATTAAAGAAGACCCTGATAGAATCAGGGAAAACCAATTCAGTATCCTTCAGTTGTTAGACAATTCAATAGGTTTTATTTAAGCAGAATCATATATACTGTATATTAACTATTCCAAGCAATCTTTACTCAGCTCAGAAAGGCCAGATGTATGGGAATTGTAAAAAATCAGGATATGCATAAAAACTGTTCAAGTGCATAAAGCAGCCCCATCTGGAAGACATCTACCAGAAATGAAGTTGTACAAAACCATTCCATTGATAATAAAGCTAATTTTTATGGGTCTGACAAGTATGTAATTATGTTCAGTGGTGCTTTTCAGATTTTATCACAGTCAATAAACCGCAGTGGTAATTTCATTCCCATTTGACATATTTACATGGAAACATTTGATTGGAGGAATTAGTAACCCTGAAAGCCTTGATAGATATGTTTTAATGATCTGTGACCTCCGCAGTCCCTCATGTGTTTGTTGTTGCAACAGGCGAGAAGTCGTTCCTGTGCGACCTCTGTGGCTTCGCGGGCGGCACGCGGCACGCCCTCACCAAGCACCGCCGGCAGCACACAGGTGAGTGCGCTGCGCATGCCCACCGGCCCCTCTGCCTGCCTGGCAGCCATGTGCTCAGGGCACCAAGAGTTGCATTTGCCTGTCGTAAGGTCTCAGCTACTCTGTTTTCCTCTTGAAAATCAGGCCTACCGTGTGCCTCACAGGCCCGATGGCCTCTGCAAATTCTTGCTGACCAGGAGGGCAAAGAGTCTGTCCTAGAGCAGAGTTTGCGCAGGCTGCTCTGCCTGTTCCCCATGGGTGGGGTCGGGGTCCGTGTTCCGCTCAGGGCCCTTTCTCTGTCCGTCTGCCGGTCATACACCCCTGCCCCTGAGGCTGCCCCCCACGTGCCCACAGCCTCCAGGCCTGCCGCTTTCTTGCCCTCTGGACCGCCCAACCCCAGCCAGCAGTCCCTCTGCGAGTGTAGCAAGCAGATGTGGCTCGCGGCCATCACTGCAGGCAGCTTCACCCTTAAGCGTGGACAGCAACAAGGAGGGCAGCGCAAGGGGTGTGGGCGTGGAAGGGGGTTGCTCTCCGTGTGTGCGTTCTCCGTGATTGAACAACACCAGCTGATGCCCGGTTAGGACCCCGCAGGGTGAGAGCTTCTGAACATCCGTGGAGACTGTTTGCCTGCTTGGTATGCGGTCATAGGTTCTGTAAGTGATGGTTGTAATGAAGTTACATGTGCCTGGGACAGTGCTGCGTGGGCCTTGTCCCCTCCAGCCGCCAGTGGAACCACGTTCCACTCTGAGAAGCCGTCCGGTTCAGACGGTAAGCCCTGTGGTAACACAGTTGGGAGCCAAGCGTTGAGCGTTTCTTACGGTGCCGCGAGAGGGGCTGAGTGCAGCGCGTCTGCAGCACATTTTGAGGCTTGCGCGTTGGGCGTGAACTGCAGGTGCCTGTAACGCCCACAGGGGCGTCTCTGGCCATCAGACACTCCACGCTAGCTGTGCTTTCCATTTCCGGAGCTCATATGCTTCGCGTGTCCCTCTGGGACGAGAGTCATGAGGACCCAAAGAGAAGTTTCCAGTGTTGAGCGTAGTGCTGGGGACACAGACGTCACTCTGCAGACTCAGAAGGGCACGGTAAGTCCCAGCAGCAGCCTGCTGCCCTGCATCGTTAGCCCAGCGACTTGAAGGTTCGGGCTGGGAGGTAGCGGGAGAGGCTGTGGGTGGGCTCAGCCCTTGCAGCTGCTGTGGAGGAGCTGGGAGCGCGTGGGTGGCATAGGACATTTGTGAGGGGGATTTTGTTCCTAGTGTTTTCACTTTACTGATGCCTGATCGTTGCCCTTGAAACGTCTCTGGTGTCACCCGGTCACACCCCGGGGCCAGGAGACCCTCGTGCATGCCACCTTTGCCAGCATTGGGTGTCCCCACTCACCTGCGGTGGGGACAGTCATGCCCTGCGCACCAGCGCTCCTGCGGATGGATCAGGGCCAGTGCCGCGCAGGCACAGCTTTCTGCTTGACCACAGCCCGGAGGCCCCTGTTTGCTGTTGACTTGGTCCTGGACCGGACAGTGTCCCGCAGACAGAGGCATCAGTCTTTGTGCCATTTACCTGCCACCGCGGCACAAGTTGTGCATGATGCCTTAGCACCAAAGCCCATCCTGAAGGCTGTGCACTTCGACCAGGCAGCTTAGTGCCTTGCGGCCTAGCCCCCAGCCTCTCACCCCTATTCCGGGTTTCTGAAGTCCAGGCAGCCCGCGGCCTTCCCCCCACAGCCAGCATCGCGTGGGGCAGATGAAACGGGCGTTTCTCTGCCACGTTCCTCTGTGGCGCGGCCTGCCTTTTCACTGCGGACTTCACACGCGCGTCACACTCAGCCAGGGGAGGGTGGCTCCCAGAAGAGTTCTGGCGGCCTCTGTCATTCCCTCCTGTGACTCCAACGGCCTGGGGCTGGCTCAGGGCCTCTCCCTCCCTGAAATGTGCTTTTGTCCCCTATCAGAGACCCTTGGCCCCGAGGGCCCAGGAGCCTGTCATCGGTGGGGTGGGAGAGCCGGGGACAGTTCCCCGGCCTCACGGCCCGGAGGGACCCAGTGGGCGCTGGCAGAGGCGCCTGACACTCAGGGCCGCGGGGCCTGCGTCCGGGAGGCCCCTCGTCCTCCCTGGACTCGGTCAGAGGAGCCCAAGGAGCCGACTGTTCCCGCGTGGCTCCTTTGGCCAGGACGGCGGCCCATGAGAAAAAGGATGCAGACCGCCGCGCCATACAAGGAAACTCAGGGCGGGGGCAGGACGTCTCCCCTGTGTCCGGCTCCTTGTGCAGGGTGCACACAGCCAGCCCTGTGGTGCCTGAGCAGGTCGCAGCCTGCTCACAGGTGTGCGCATCCGGCAGCTCTGCGGTGCTGAAGGCTTCGTGGGGCGGGCCCTGGGCACTGAGTACATTGGACTGTCCACGGGATGTTGTCCCCTTGCTAAGTCTTCAGAGGGGACCCACCTCTTTTCAGGCATTGACAGATACCAGGAAGCTGGGATTCTTATTTACAACCTGAAAGGTTTGCTTTCAAATTTTACCATCTAGAAGTTGAGTTTGTTTTTTTTCCTTTTTGGCTACATATTGAAACTAACAAACAAGAAGGTACACCTGTATTTCTGAAGTGTGTTTCCTGAAGAAATGATCATTCTGGCTAAAAAAAACCAAACAAACCCCACCCCAATTAACATGTTCAAACAGTCGTGTTGAACATGCCCCAGAATTAATGAGTTGCATGTGAGGTATCACGGGCAGGCCTGAGCCAACGCAGAGTGTGTGGACCGAGAGGCAGCCCCGCCCGCGCGGCCCTGGGCCCGCCCTGCAGGCCTGCTGGGGCTGGCGGCTCAGTGGCCATCGTTTGCCTGCTCTCTCAGCCCGCCTGCAGTTCACCGTTTCTCAGGAGTGCACAGCTTAATCTATACTGCTGTCAAGTTAAATATGAAGTAACAATTTACAGTTTATTGCAATATTATGCTAGCTTAATACGAACTTCAGATTAATAGAGTTATCAAAAATACAGTAAATGACATTATTCTTTAAAAGTGTTGTTTTAAAATTTAACTTGTATGACATAAAAATGCCATAAATTTAAATGAAAGAAACATTTGTCATGTTTTTTAAGGCCTTATGTTAAACCTCCAAACCAAGAAAATTAGCTCAGAAGGGCTGAGAGGGCCGTCAGCTCATAGCCGGGCTCAGACGATGCACCCGCTGTGCCCTCCCTTTCCCCCTGTGCGCCAGTCGAAGGTGTTTTCAAGACTTAGGTCGGATGGAGTAAGGAAACGTCAGAATGTATTTGTGAATTGGCTGAATTTAAAAAAATCTTCAAATTGTTGGACCCCTTGGATTCAATGCATTAAAAGCGGGAGGCGTGTACTGCCCCGCCGGAAGACGCGCACAGTAGCAGCAGGTGCGACAGTGCTGTGTCGGCGTACGGGTCGGCGATTGGCGTGCAGGAACCACTTACCCAAATTTTGTGGCACTCCAAAAAGCAGGTATTTTTTTGCCAGTCTATTGGGCTGACTAAAAAGTCCATTTAGTTTATTCCATAAAATAAGACACATTTTCCATGTCATCAATAACTTTATTGTTCTGGGTATTATGAGGATGTCGGCTACCTCCTGAGTGGTAGAACATCAATTGTCCTCTGTTAATGTCTCGATTTGATCACTGTCACCTTCCACTGGACTGCCCGACTGTGGAGCATCGTCCAGCAAGAGCTCTCCAGTGTGAAGCTTGGCAAACTGCTTGTGACACGCTGTGTCAGTCACGGCTCCTTCTCCGTCCGCTGCACAGACCTTCTTTTGCGTTTCAGTTGTGCTGTTTCCTGTCTTGAAATAATAAAGCATAATATGCCGACAGTGTTGCTTATTGTCTTCCACCTTCAATATTAAAATCACTATACAAAAATTCACCAATTTTGATAAGTTTTTAAAACATGCATGCTGATATGACAGGTGCCACCGTGCAGTCTCACAAAATTGTTTCAAATGAAGTTAAAGACAAATAAACACTACTAGAGCCATCATATGGAAAAAAACAAACGAACGTTTTGGCCACCCCCAATACATCCAGATGATTTCAACACGATATCAGTATGACATTCTCATCAATACCACCGTTTGTGCTCTAGGGGTTTGGGTGGGTGTGTGTCTGCCCTCCTAGCACCTTCCTATGCAGAGGCTCAGTTTTCATCTGAAACCCGTGATCTGTGTTTATAGCTGATAAAATCTCCTTCCCATTCCCAAGCTGGCCCACACTGACCTAAATATTTATAGAATAGGTGAATCCAGTATCGGTTATAAAATTTAAGTTTACATTAATTGAAGTTAAATAGCCACATTGCAAGCGCTCACTGGCCAGTGCAGCTGGTGGAACAGAGCACTGATGAGCCTCGGGGACTTGTTTGCGTGTGTGTGTGAGGGGTGGTGGGGGGCGGCCAGGAAGGCGCCCGGCAGAGGGTGAGCCGCGAGTCCCGTGGGAGCGGGGACCAGCTCGTGGTGAAGCGTGTGTGTGAGTAGAGCGGTTGGATGTGCCCAGGGGAGAGGACATGTAAAGTGCTATTTAATACCATTTTAAATGTTCCTTTGAAGCTTCTGTACTTTTGATTCAACTTAGCAAACTGTAATTTCTCTGTACCTCTAACAGTGTTTTAATTGGTATCAATTTATAGCTTTATTTTATTTTCTTCATATTTAAGATTTTAATAAATTGTACAACATATATTCAAAGTACATCTCTGATACATGCTTTTCCCTGGCTTTAGCCTCATGGAGATTTTTATAATGGCTCTACTATAACATATAGTTTGTCAGATAACTTCAAATACAGTGCTAGGCCAAAGCCATATTTGACATTCCTGTTTGTGTAAGGCGCGTTCGAACTGAAGAATGGATACCGTTCTTCTGTTACAGTGTAGAAATAAAAACCGGTGGCGTCTTCTTTCTCAGTCTGAGAATAAATATTCAAATGACCCAAATATGTGTAGTCCGTTGAACTATATTCTTAAAATTTCATGGAAATAAGTTTCTTTTTAGTTGCTAATAACAGGTGTAGCTCTTTGTTTCCAAGTATTAGAATTACTCACGTACCCCACTTCTTGATACGTTTCAGGAGAAAAGCCTTTCAAGTGCGACGAGTGTAACTTCGCCTCCACCACCCAGTCCCACCTCACGCGGCACAAGCGGGTGCACACGGGCGAGAAGCCCTACCGGTGCCCCTGGTGCGACTACAGGTAAGGGGGCCACCCCGGGGACGGGGCCCATTGGACTTACCCTCACAGAATGGTCTGTCGGGTCGACGTCTGCACAATTGAAAGCGTGATTCACTGCTTAGTTGGGGAATTCATTTTACCAACTATTTTTAGTGACTGTTTAAAATTGAAAAATTCTTTTCCATTTTTTATATTCTTTTCATTTGGGTTTCATAACCTTTGGGTACGCCCAAATTTCAAGTGGTTTTATTTCTTTTCCAAAGCAAGGAGTCACCCCAATTACTCAGCATGTGTGGTGTGTGATCTGTGCTGAGCGAGACACTTAGGCATTGGAGACAATGCCAGACAAGCGTCCTGCCGTGAAGGCCATGGTAGTAGAATAGGTGACCTGTCATGCGCCTAAGTAACCATAATGCGTGTCCACTGGGTGATCACAAAGCCAGGGGTGGGTTTGGAGAAGCTCAGCCAGAACCAAGTCCTCCCCGGGGAGCGAGCGGCTCCGCCACAGTTAGGGGAGGGGGCGGGCGCACGGAACTTCAGACACGTGATGTTCTGCGCGTGTCCAGAGGCTCGTGGCCTGGGGCAGCACGTCCGTGCCTATGCAACCCACGGCAGCCGAGCGGTCCCCGCCAGCCTGCAGCGTCCATGGTCGTCAGCAGCAAGCAGGGCTGCGCAGAGGAGGAGGAGGAGGTGGCAGACAGCGGTCACCGTCTAGGACGGGAGTGTGTGCAGAGAGAACACGGGCGTAAGGCAGGGAATGAGGTTGCACCTGAAGCTTGGGCATGAGGCTGGAGCGCGAGGGCCGGGGACACCCCAGGGTAGGCGGGCAGCCGCACAACACCTGTCTCAGGTGCTTGGCCAGCTGACTTTGGAGCCTCAGTTGGAGGGGGAGAGCCGTCTGCATGTGGGAGCCGGAGCCCCGCGTGTCGTTCCGCGTGCTGCAAGGTGGCACTGAGCACGGCCGCCTTTGGGCAGAGCCAGGGCCTGGCCCGTGGCCCTTGGCCCGCTGTGAGAAATCGGCTCCTGCCTCCCTTTGGTTGTCGCCTGTGCATTCAGTAAATATATGGCCACAATCTCTATTATTATCCTCATTACTGCATTAAGTTTTATTTTAAAGGTCATCTAATAGTACAGAGATATTACAGATATATTTCATTCATTAATTATTCATTCTTTCAACATTTTATGAGTTCTGTCTTTGCTTAACACTAGAGTGGTGTTTCTTGGAAGTTTGGTAAAATGGTGATCCAATTAGAGGTCGACCCAGAAATTCTAGGATGCTGATCACATGAGTTATTTAAAAAATAAACATTATTGAAGGTTCTTTTTTCTTACTAAGGAGATAGTACCATGTAGTTTGCCTTCCCTATAAAACATACAAAAGAAATTACAGAGTTAAAAAATCTTCCTTAATTACCACTCTTAGCTGTTAGAATTCTATCTTTTCAGTCTGTACCCTGTGCATAAGGTTTGGGTTGTTGTTTGGGACTGTTCTGTTTCTTTCATGATAAATTTTTCACATATAAATTGTAAGTGCTTTTCTTTTTCACTGATCTTGTGTAACTGTGGTTTTGAAACTGCTGTTTTTAAGTAGCAGAGCTAGTATTTCAAACAAGATCATGTGTAGACGCCACGTATGAATAGGTCCAAGTGGTATCTGCTGCTGGGGAATAGATTTCATAGTTAAAACCTGAAGTATTTACTTAGGACATTGAAGGGGACCAGACAAGGCTGCTTCCACATGCAGAGGCTGTCAGATGGGAGTTGCGACCGCAGTGGCTGCAGCCTCCAGGCCTGCAGGAGGCGCTCTCACCGCGTCACCCCCTCTCAGGGGCCCGCCTCCGCCTTTGCAAAGAGGCTGTCAGGGTGCCCGCCTTACGGGACCAGCCGTGCGAGATGAGGAACCTCGGCATCAGCGAGCCCGAGCCGAGCCCGGCCTACTGCCATAGCCCCGGGCCACGCCCGCCCCAGACGGTGGCAGCCTGCGCCGCCCTGCAGCCTCAGGACACCGTGTGGTGAGCTGTGGCCGACTTCCCGTGCCCTGAAGGCCTGATGGGTGTTAAAATATGTTTATGGTATGTGCCGCAAAGCATTGTTTTCAGATTTTGAAGTTGTTAAAATTTTATCAAATTCAAAATCGATTGTTGGATAATTACTGAAGTACCTTAGAGTTTCCAAATGCCTAGTTTGAAAACTACTCTTCTGGAATATAATTTTGATAATTGCATGGCTTCGAGTTAGACTGATAAACAGTGATCATTTTATTAAATCTTTAGACATTTTAAGCCATTTTCAGGTTTTTACTCGAAAAATTCTTATACCTAACTAAATTTTTATGCGCATCCATGGTTTGATGGAAGAGATTCCCAGAAGTGCAATTTAAGACTTGTAATAGTGTTACTACAAAGGCTGGGGTTGGAGTTTTGTTTTGCAGCTTAGGACTGTGCTTTAGAAGGTTCTCAAGTCTTGGTTTAGGTTTCCTTGGTGTGAAAGCCTGTTGCACCTCTGCTGAGGCGGAGGTGGTAGCACGTGTCCCCGTTCCGGTGACTGCAAGACATGGTGTCCCTGCCAGGGAGCGTGCTTGGGCCAGTGGGCTCGTGGGCGTCAGTGCCCAGCGGGGAGAGGGGCTCTGTGTCCCCGGAGCACTGCCCTGCCCTGCCCCACGCGTGGTGCTCAGGACGTATTTTGTCATTAACTCTCCTCATCTCTGCCAAATGCCCTCTCCAAATTCTCAAGTCTTCGATGAGAGGGTGCTTTTGTCTTTATTTAAAACTTTTAAATAACTTGGTTACTATTGAAAGTAAAGAGTTGGCACAGTTTCTGTTCGTGTGAGGTTCCTCACTCTGTGTACATTCAGTTAGGGCTGTGTTCACTTGTGAACCAGAGATCAGTTAACCTTGACCAGGGGTACAGAAAATGTGCAAAACTGATGGATACTTCTAAAAGTAGGGATTATGAATGAAATGTGGAATTTAGAACAGATACCTGTGTTTTCTTGTTGATGAGCAAAAGATTTAACAATAAGCAGAGTTAAGTTTACAATGACTGTTTTGGTTGCGTAGCACAACAAAGTGCTTGCCATAGTCACCTCACAACAACAAAGAAAATATCTTCTTTCACAGGATATATTACATTTGAGTATCTATGAGAATATCTATAAGATGATTGCATATTTACTAAGAAGATTATATTTGTATTATTGGTACCTTTCCATAATATTTTACTGCTTAAAATATTTAACTTTTTTCCCATTTAGATTTTTATTTATTTACTAGAGATACATAAAAATCATTCCTAACTGTATTCCTAACTGTGCCATAATTAACACTTATTTTCAGGTAACCATCATTAGAAATTGCAGTATTATTTTAATTTCATTGGAAAATATATTTTTCATTTTATAAATTGAACATTGGGGGAGAAATATTAGTAGCAATAATTATTCATGAAAAATGTGAATATAGATTTGTTTACAAAAGAATTTTATAATTGGTCTTTTGAACCTGGGGCTATTTTTCAAGTTTGCATTATTAATTTAGGCAATGACATTTCATTCTATTTAGATGTAAACATGTACCCTTTTCCTAAGCTTTTACTGTCTAAAATACCCAAAAATCTAATCCATTACAAATCAGTATATTTCATCATTACTCCAAAATTTTTTCACCATTAATTATTATTCATTATAACTTCAAAGCATAAATTGAGATTCATAGCACACTGTCCTATATTATTTATGCAGCAAATTTGTTAGATTTGTTTCCACATTAAAATGGAAACAATCTAACATTTTCTATATTTTTATTTTCCTTTGTTATGTATTGTCACTTCTATATTAATGAGAACTAGAAAAGCCTTTAATATGTTGTAGTAAGTACCCGCTCTAACAGTGGAGATCTGTCTCCCCGTAGAATTTATTAGTATCAGACTGCGTGCTGTTTCACCGCGGGCCTGGCTTTCACATAATCTGAGGGGCCTCCTTGGACTTTCTTGTACGTGAGTCCTCTTGTCATTGGCTTCCATTTTTTTAAACTTAGGGTGTGTCAGGGAAATACAATAAATGCAAATTAAACAGTAAGCCCCTGAGAAGTCTGGAAAAGTCACAGAAAACATTACCTGCAGTACTAAAAATATTAAGGGTAATCCTATGTTGTGCTTTAATTGTCATTTTGTAAGTTAAAGAAAGCTAACCTTTCGAGCCGACTTCTGGCCGTTCGATCATTTATTGCATCCCTGTGATTGATCTTGGAATAGCTCAGTGCTTGAAGACTGCTATTGGCCAGATTTTTCTCTCCATTACCTTAGTACTTCCAATCATACAGACACTTTTAAAACTTTTTTACTGTTTCCCTTTTCATTTTATTCACTCTTTGTTCTCTTTTTAATTACTTAGAATTATAACCCTGAATAGAAATATATTATATATAGCTGAAGAATAAAATCTATAATTCCTGCCTCATAAAGATTTACTCCATTGTCTTCTTAAACTTGGAGGAAAAACCCTTTGTTTTTTTTCTCTACTTGATGGTTTACTTAGCTCTTGACCCAGTGTATCCATAGACGTCATTGTTACATTATGTTTTGATCCCAAGAAGAATATTCTTTCCCTTTTTTGGTGAATGTAGCATTTAACTCAGGTGTGGTATCCAATTAGAAATTTGGTTTTTTGGTACATTCTAACATCTAAATTTTTTGTTTCATGTTTTTAAATAACTGAATGCAGTAAATTTTCACACATCTGAATGCCATAGGCAGAATGCACTGTTTGTCACAACCACCTGAAGCGTATATGCGTGTGCCTGTGTGTGTGTCTGTAGCCTAGAAGATTATTGTCGAATGATACCTTTAATTGAATTGAATTCTACCTTAATTTCGTGTGATGCTGGAAGCATTTTGGGGGTAATTTTAAGATGCAATGCCAGGAAGCCGTACTTGTAGCAATTCTCTATTTCCCCTTCAAAAGTTTGCATTACTTCCTCAAACACATATTTCTTTAAAGTGCCTTAGTTATGAAAATTTTT